ATTATAAAAAGCCAGGATAACGGGAGTGTGTATGTGAGTGGAAACATTTAAAGTTGTTTAAGAAGTCGGGTCAGTCCGGTTTAATTTGTGTTTAAATCAAACTGGACACAAGGATGCACACAAATCAAAGTGTACACCTTTCATAAAATATATATTTAAGCCAACAAGAGCAACACAAAATCCAAAGTTATATATTAAATCATTTTTGACTAAATAACCGTAGATATGTTGGGTTTTAGTGTGCCTCTCCTGTTATAGGCTTCAACAGAACTGGCACCAAACAGCATTAAATCGTGTGTGTTAAACTGCCTCTGGACACAAAAACACTTTCACATTATCAACTTAAAAGGTGACAATAATGTCAGTTTGTTTCCGCTCCTCCCCGGTGGGCCAAAACACAGGTGTAAAGTGAAATAAAAGCGGGACTTCCAAAGGTTTGGATGAATCCGAGCAGGTGTGAACATGCCCCAAAGCCCCCTCACCGTGTAACTGAAGCAATATGCGCTTCAATCGTCCACCGGCTGTGCTGCCGTCTCTCTGTGGACGAGAGCGGGAGCATTACATACAGCCAATCAGCGGAGAGGAGCTGAAATACATTTAATTTAAGTAAATGATGAAACAAAATAAGGGTCCTCGTTATAGGAAGCTCTTGCAGCTATGAGATTCAGATCTTCCCCCTCCCCGTTTCCTCATTAGGAAATTAACTCCCACGACAGCAACTGCTTCACCTCTTGAAATATGAACAGCCAAATTAAATATGCATATTTAATAAGAGGGGAAACATGATTACATCCACTTGTTAAATGAGAGAATGAGGAATGAAATCTGAGAAAGAGTAGAGGAGAGAGATCTTCTTCTTCTTCTTCTTTATGGCCTGCAGAGTGTGAAAGAAAAAAGGGAATTCATCTTTATTTTAACGCAGCTCTTTGGGAGTAACCCTAGCAGGACTCCCCCCCACTCTGTAGAGCTGATTCTGGTGCTTTCTGGGGGTTTGGACTGCGGGTTCCTATAGCAACCACAAAAAGCAGAGACAGTTAAGGCTTGCTCGCCATCCGCCTTAACATTTTTACCTCTTCTGAAGCATCAAACAGCATTTCGGAGCAGACAGTGAGAGCTGCCAAGTGTCTTCTTCTTGCTCAGAGTATTTCTCTGTCGGACCGGAGAGCCGAAAACAAGAACATAGGACGTATTTATGATTTAATGGATTGAATGCAGCATCGTTTGTGGCCCGTTTTGCTACCGTACTCCATCAGAGAGGAGGTCAAGTTAGATGATCTCAATGGATTTTTCTTTTCTCTTTATGTGGTAAACCACTGAGATCGTCATCTCATTTTCCAAAGGGTACATACGTGTATAAAAATATAAAATAAACACTTAATAATAGTAATATAGTACAATAATAAGTCCTGTAATAATACACACAATAATCAGGGTTCTAATTAATTTATGAATTAACTGGAACTATAGAGTATTAAGCTTTGAGGCACACTTTAAAGTACATATGGAGGTATGTTGTTTACCATGTTTCCAATCTTAGTTTAGTGTGTTAGCATTAACTAACTGGCAAAGTAGAGCTGAGGCTGATGGGAATGTGATTAGTTTTGCAGGTATGTGGTTATAAACTATTTGTTTTTTTAACCTGATGATGGCGCTAGATAAGTGGGGAAACATCAGGTGCCGGTTGGTGCTTTATATTTCTACAGTAGCCAGGTAGGGACAAACCAAACACCTGCTCTACATAGAGGCTTTTTGTGTGTTTCGTGGCCACCGTAGTTTCTCCTTTGCACGAAGTTGGAGGCGGAGGGTGAAGCGAGAGAGTTACAGATGCTACTAAATCCATCACGCTGAACATTTAAAGCAGAATCAAGGAACTTTCATTTTGTGCTGACTGTGGCGCCCCCTGTGGACAAGAGTGTTTCTACCGCCTCGTTTCATTGATTTCAAGGGGAATCTGACTGAATCTGAAGGGGGCAGGCATTGAGAATAAGTATATAGAAATCAGACAATCTTCTTGCTTTTAGAGATCAGGCATCAGTATTAAATTAAGTTTCATAACCAGGTAAAACTCATATGATAAAAGCAAGCGTTCAGGATCCAGGACAATAAAACTATAAAAACCTGTAAATAATGAGTGAATTTGTTATTTGTGTTGATAATAATTTGCATTATGTAGTTTATTTTAGCTTTCTAATAAACTATTTGAAGCAGAAAGTCGGATTTGGGTGGGGCTCGGGGGTTCACACAGATGCCTGATTTTCCGGGCCCGATAAAAACCGCCAACACAAATCCAAACATTTCAGATTGCCCGTAAGCTTTCCAATCAACCACCGCCATGTTTCCACTCCTCGGACCAGCCTCTTTCTTCAGAATCACCTCCCTCTATCAGGAGCTGCTTCCTCTCCTCGGCCTCTCCTTTAATCAGTCTGTCCCAGATGGAAGCTCATCAGAGCTGCCCTCCTCTTTCATACTCGCTCTCTGAGAGAAAGCTTGTGTGTTTTAGACCAACTCAACCCTCCCCGCCCTCCCCGCTGCTGCTGCTACTAGAGTCGTTCCCAGCGCAGGCAGAGAAGGTGAGCACAGATAAGAGGTCTTTATCTGGTCCCATAGGGAGGCGGGTTAAGTTTAAGGTGAAGGTTTGACATGGCAGCCCGTCTGCTTTGCTCTGGATGCTCTCCTCCCTCCTCTCTCCACCTCCTGATGCGAGGCTCAGGCTCTCAGTCCCCGATCCCCATGTCCTTGGGCTCATTCTTGATGGGCCCCCACTGCTCCGGCTTTAATGAGAAAGATGAAAGAGGTGCAGGCTGGGAGAATACCCAGCCCTCCTCCTTCCCTTCCCTCCTTACCACCCCATTCACTTTGCTCCTCGTCCCGTTTGTTCAGCCCCAGCCTCGCTCCCTCTGGCCCTCCAGCGCTAACTCATCCAAGACTTTTTGCTGTGGTGGTGGGTGGGGGGGGGGGAGTTCTACTGTAATAAATTGGGAGCGAGGGTGGTTTCCATTTTAAATTTTTCAGGTATTATTCCCTCTGATCTTATGTGCAAATTTCTCTCCATCCTTTATTTCTTTGTGCTCTGGCTCTGTGCCTCTACTGTACTGTAGGTATGTTTAAATCATAAACCCCCAAAAAATGCAGCTTTACTGAAATATTTCATTCTTCTTTTTCTTAAAGTTGTGTTTTAATGTTCATGAAGTTGTGCCTCGCCTATAAATATGTCTGCATGTGATTACAAGACACCACAGGTTAATTAAACAGCTCAACTAGGCCTCTTTTAAAGTCAATTCAACTTATATTTCAGGTTCTCTCTCGGCTGTTTCATTTAAAGTACAACTACTAATAATCATGAGCATTATATTCTGGATTTAAGGTCATAAAGCTCTAAATAAAGACTAAAAAGGTAGGTTCTTCTTTTACTCTGCATGCACATCACAACGTTTTAACCACAGTTTCATATGGTCCTCTTTAAGGACAGAATAGACAGGAAGACAGCCGACACTGAGAGCTCCCAGTGAACAGAGTCAGCTAGTGGATCCACTACAGCTGCTGGACTGGGGGGACGTAACACACATTCAGCACTACTGGCTACAGCAACAGTTCCCTCCCTAACTGCCTGTTCTTACAGCAAATATGAGGAATCCAACAGCTCTCTGGTTTCTGTTTCACCTGCACTTTAAGATATTTTTGGGGCTTTTCATGCCTTTATTTTGATAGGACAGCTGAAGACAGGAAAGGGGGGGGGATACATGCAGCAAAGGGCAGCAGGTTGGGCCACTACAGTGAGGACTGTACCTACATGGGGGGCGGACACTACCAGGTGAGCTACCGTGTAATATATCATATTTCTTAAATGGAGTTTGGTGCAGGGGCCTTTTATTTGAACAAATAGGCTGTACACACCACAACAGGACCACAGCACGTCCTGAACCTACCAGGACTCTCCATCGGGCTCTCCAGGGATCCAGGTGCCGGTTCACTCGGCTGTGGTTTCACCCATTCATGCGTGCCACTAATTAGCCTTACCCAGTCCAAGTCCAATAAACAGTGTTGGAATTGTATAAACTGGGAATGACTGGGAAGCTGAGACACATAGAAAATGCCATCCCCGCATAAGTCAGCGCCCTACTTATGGAAAAACCCCTGGGGCTGCTGGGTAGGGGAGGCTATGCCCCTCCCTGATGTTGCTTATGGATGTGTTATCTAATACAGGTGCGCTTACATCCTATTTTTTTTTATTCTATCTGACTAGCAGTAATTCCTTCAACAGAGGGTCCAGACTAACATTAAGAAAGGTCCTGACTGGAGACGTGGGAGTCCAGACTTCCCACTGAGACCAGATAATTGTCTCGTTCAGGCTGCAGCGACGAGTCTGAATCATTCTCTGATTAATAACATTCACTCATGACCTTGATTAACAATTTAGCTCAACAGTTTAACACCTCCTGATCACTCGGGGTCCAGCAGACAGATGGCGGACTGCGAACACCTTTAAGATCTATCTGGGAGTCCCAAAATCCCTGTAAAAATAATATTTAAAATAAAGAAAAATTTCATGATGTTTGTCCAAAAATAAAGAAAAGATTCAAAGTTTTGATGGATGAAATTTACTCAGTGTATTTCCACATAGAGGAAGACCCGGAGTGTGTCCATTGTCAGCTATTACTATTCAATGCTGCCACCTTGTGGTTATGTGATGAAATACAGCAACACATGAAATTAACCTGGATCAAGGACTGTAGATATTTCATTTATATTGGATGTGTGTTAAAGAGGAATCTGTGAACAGCCAGTATGAACAGGAGGAATTATTACAGGCAGAAAAACCTGTTTCAAAGTTCATTTTAACACCTGTTGTTTGTGTAGCTTGAAATTGCTTTTAAATGAACACTACACGCCACATTCCCACAGTGATGGCAAAGGCTCAGCACAAACAGAAACTAACTCATTCATACACTGATGCACATCTGGAGCAATGTGGGGTTCAGTATGTACAAAACCAAGCGGCGTTCGGTTTGGAGTGTTTTATTAAGCACTTTTTAAAGGCTAAAATACATAAAAAGCTGCTGAGTAACAAACTAAAGATTTTTCTAAATAAATATGACGCTTTATTCAGTAACGAATCCTTGAAACAACCTCACAGTGTCACTGAGCGAGACCTGCTGAGTACCCGGTTGTCTGACGGGTCAGTGAACTACCCGTACAATGTGCTCTGACCACGACAAATATGAAACTGAAAGGACACTGATAGTAATAGCAGAACATTTAAAATGGTCCACAAGGACAACAATCATAACGTTGGAGGATATTTTGGTGATTGTCTTCGTTAGCGCGGCTCATTAGAGGTTTTTGGACTTGTCCTGGTTGTTCATGTATTTCTGGTAAACCACTCCCAGTGTGGTGAAGAAGTTTCCCATGAAGAGCACCATGTAAGAGCAGCCGCACATCACAACCTAGACCGCAACACAAACAAACAAACAAACAAACAAATGTTATTCTCAGTGGTTATTAAACTTACTTTTACATTTTTTATTTAACTTATTAGAATATAATTATTTAAAGAATTGTGCATAACTGATATTGTTTAAATTAAGATTTAAAAAAACAATCTCAAGGCCCCCTGCAGTACTCCAAAGCACCACTAGGGGTACACATACGCCCATTTAATAAACAATAATTACTTTAACCGTATTTTAAAATGTGCATAAATAAATCCAAAGATAAAGAATGATTCATATTCATCACCTTCAAAATAAAAGTTTTTGTCTTTGCCTTTCTAACCCTTCATGGTTACATACTGTACCCCTATTTAACAATGTATGCCACAAAAATGACCCAAAAAAAATCAGTTTCTTTGTATTTTTAATAATTTTATTCAAAATTCAATCATTTTTTACTTCCTGTAACACAAAATGTGAAGTGTGCTTACGTAAACATTAACTAATTTCTGGCAAATTGGTTCAGTCAGGTGAGAGGTTTAGATTATCAGGACCAGCAGTAGGGGGTCACAAGAGCTTTAAGGGGGGTAGCGAGCCCTTCTTGGTTTTAAGGGGTGTACGAAAACTTTAAAAATACACACTGTAGAAACTGAAGAAAACTAAATGAAATTGGTATTTTCTAAAGTTTAGATTATTAATTAAATTCTAAACTTTGAAGATCCTGGATTAGAAAAGTTAAAACAACCAGAGCTGATTGAACAATGAGCAGAAAACACTGAATCTGTCAATAAAAGAAGCTTATTTAATGTTTACAAGTGTTAAAAAAGAAGAAAATACACAATACAGACAGAGAATTGTATAAAATGTCCCTAAAAATATCAGTAAAACTCATCTCTGATCAACATTCACAGGAAATAATCTGCTCAAAATTCATCCAAATCGCTCGTTTTACACAAACTTCCTGCAGCTAGTGAGTTCACTGTTTGGGTTCATTGTACAGTTTATTAGTTCCTTTAAGGAAAAGCCAAACATTACATTAAAAACTGCTAACAAACTAAACTCTGGGTATCACACGAACATAAAAAAAATCTGTGCTGAGTACAAACCTGCCACTCTTTACACTCCGGGAGCTGAAACATCTTGAACAGTGTTATGCTGTTATAGAGCTGCCAGAACTGTGAAGAGGAGCGACAGTCAACAGTTAACAATGACCTACAAAGAGTATATTTATATATATTCAGTATGATTTTCAGTATTTCATAATCTTTAAAATAGGCAATGATGAATCTCTGTGTAAATGGAGTAAATGAGCACTGTAAGGAGAGAAGCTACTCACATGACCAAAGAATAAGAAAGGAAGGAGGAAGGTCAGGCCTCTCCACATCCAGGACTGGAAACCCTCTGAACACCAGGAGAGGAGAGTTAACTTAATCTATCATTATCATTGTATTAAATCATTTATATACCTCCTGCAAGAGCTACACTTTATTCAAGAGTAACACAGTATTGAATGAATGTTCATATTTCAGTTCCCTCTGGTGGACAAACTGTGTAACGGCCTCACTCTTTCTAAATGTCCTCAAACATATCTGTGGACATTTAATGCACCTATCCTGTTAGTGTGACCCTGTCTGACCGACAGCAGCTCCACTCACCGACTGTGAGGTCCATGTTGTGTCTTTCTCCCAGCGCTCGCAGTCGGTACAAACAGCCGCTCTGGTAGTAGTACTGGAGGAACTGGACGAAGCCTACTTTGCAAATACAGAACCAAAAATAAACCACAGAAGTATATGTAAGTATATCAGTTATACAGTTATACAGCGTGCTGTGTGCTGTTTGCCGACTGTGTACACTGAAACTGAAACTACACACTAACTTTAACCAGGTTTGATTGTAAGTTATTGTCTCCGTTTAGACCTTTATATCCACCAAGTTGACTGATTCTGGTCTGGTATTGTGACATAAAACAGGTTTCTCAGTTGCAAAATCCAAAGAGCAACACTGGGGGGGGCAGCTTACGATTAGCCGTTAACAGTCCCTCCAGGATTTCACTCTTTTGGGGGATTGTTGCAGCCTGAAATTCCTGATGAAACTGCAGCTTTTCTTTGCAGTTTTTGCAAGTTAAAAAAAAGTAAAAAAGTGCAACAATACTTTGTTTTAGGGAGGAGAAGTCAGTGAGTGACGTCGTTGTAAATTAGGAATAAACCTTCAAACAGCATTCGATTAAACCAAGTATTACAACAAAAACCTAACAGAGACAAAACGAAACAACAAAACTAGACTTAGGTAGAGTTGCAAAACATTATTATAAAATTAAGTTATGAAGGTGTTGTTATGGACATAACACGTACCAGACATTGTTCCAGTCGAAGGGAACTTTAAACATGAAAGATTTCTGACCTATTGAATCAGAGACTGCAGGAATTATTCTTTTTTTTTGCTATAGGCGTATCTCCTCAATATTGCCCGACATGTTGCTCCGCTCCAGTCTTAAAACTCCTGCAAACAACAAGTCGGCCTGGCTCTGCATCAGCGTGGTCTCTGGTGATTTGTTAGTGAAAATCGATTCCTCCTCCCTCACACAGCAATCAGTTAAAATGGAGGCGATGTCAGACTGAAGATGCAAATGGAGTGTAACGACTCCAGGTTGTCTGTTATCAGGCAGAGTAGGTTCATATATATATATATAAATATATAAATATATTCAAATAAGATCAGTTAGTTTGCAAATATGAAACTGGCAGTAGCTTTCTTGTCTTTGTCCCACAGTGTTCAGTTCTTCATATGAGGGCTCAAGCACATCTACAGAGCACAGAAATAAATATTCTAACTGTAACCAGGAAGGGAAACAGCGTTACACCGGTACCATCAGCCCTGCACTGGCTACCAAATCTAATACCAATCTGTTGTATAGTCGCAACTAATGTCTTTATATTGTCATATCCTGTGATGAGGAGTCAGTAAAGTATTCTAAATAGAGTATATTTGTATTATATGTGACCCAGCTTTGAATCTCTCTTACTTTGGTATTGACAGTATGTCAGAAACTGGTTCCTGAACATCTGGTAGAGAGCGCCTTCAGGCCTGTGAACAAACACAACATCTGGTTAGTGGAGGGCAAACGTTGGACAACAGTGACATCTGGACAATATACGGCTGTACTGTACAAGTTATGGTTAGGGCTGACCCAAAAGCTCAAAATCAGTATTTAAATCAATCCAACTTTATTTGTACAGAAGCTTTTATAAAGTTTAGTGCAGCTCGAAGACAATAATAATGGAGTAAAAGGTATATTTAAAAACAGAATACAAAGATAAAAATGACAATAAAATACAATATAATCGATTATACAGGTTTAACTATAGTATTTATTAAAGGTTATGCTAAAAACTAAATAAATATAAATCAATAAAGCAGGCAGAAATAACAAACCAGTCTGAACCTGATCCCACATAGAGAGACACTGTGGATATTTTACAAGCCCGGACTCGGTAGGATGACGACTGCAGCTGGAATGTGTCCAAAGTGAGTGTGAAGACTTTCTGTGATAAACTACATTTGGATGGAAGTGTGCAGAAACTTTCACTTTCAGCTCAGAAAAGCTCAGACTTGGTAAAAAACGTCCATAACGAGTCGGTTTCGATCGTTTCAACGGCTCACCAGCTGCGAAAAAACCCTAAAAAATGTTGTTCGGGACAGCTCTGGGTATTTTGAAAGTGTAAACTCACCAAGTGAGCATAACTCCAGACAGGAAGGTCGACACGTAGTGATGGAAAACCCACCAACCTTTGATCCTGAAACAACACGGAGGACAGTGAGGGACACAGGATTGAACGTGGTCCCGCTTATACAAGCTGTTTCTTTCCAACATATACATCTGTTATCTTATCTGTTATTAGATGCACATGTTACTTGCAGTGATTTATGGATTCGGCTCACTACGCGGCCCTGAGGAAGCCGTTTACTGCGTGTGAGCAGTTTATCTGTCACAATAAACAATAAACAATATATAAGCTGCAGACCTTGAGCCGTTGCTGATGAGGATGCTCTCCCGGATGGTGAGTGTGCAGTAGTACCACACCAACAGGAAGTTGAACAGGGCATCTAAGGCTCTGGAAAAACAAACAACAACACGTTACTCCACAAACAAATTCACACATATAAAATAATTCATTCACTGTCAGTCTACACTGCATCTGATTGGCTACGTTTAACCAAATATAACCAAATTTAATCTAAAGAAAGTTGATATCAGTTAGACTCTAGTCTCAGGTAGAGCTCTGATTCTCTGCCTCCACTGGGACTGTGAGCACGACGCTAGTTTTTGTTATTTATTTAGTTTTATTCTCTACTTACTTTACATTATTTGTGTGCTTTGTGTCCAGTTGGCACATATGTATCACAAAACTCAAAGAAAATGGATTTGTGGTTGAAAATGTAGCAGCAATACAGCTGAAAACACGGAGAAAGAAGTAAAAACGGAAGTTAAAACAACACTGTCGGTATCAGAAAGAATGTGTTTGAATGAAATTTTACCTCAAAGAGCCGCAAATATCCCAAAACATTCAGCTTTTACAGGTACAACGCTTTTGTTTTTGCACTGGTTCGTGGGTACTTGTGCACTAAAGCACCAAATTTGTGTGCATGAATCCAGAAAAAGAAGCTAAACTGTGAATAATCTCACCTGTAGCTGAACAGAAAGCGACACGTGAAGGCGAACACGAAGAGGATGACCGTGAGGACCAGTTTGAACTTCTCGTATTCGTCTTTGTAGGCGAACCTGTTGATTAAAACGCCGTTAGTGTGACGCCGTGACGAGCGACCTGTGTTTGGTTGGAAGGAAACGAGACTCACTTTGACTGTTTGTTGAGGAGCGTTACGTTGACGTTTCCTAACACGAGAGTGAGGTACAACCTAAACAGGAAGAGTCCGTCGGTCACAATGCGAACATCAGAATGTTTTAAAGATTTAAAATCAGACAAGCTGTTATATGTTCCTCGAACATGCTGACAGGTTACTAAGAATCAGACCCGTTCTTCTTTGGCAGGAAAGCTTCCATCTCACAGAACGCATTCGCTCTGTCTTTCATGGAGTCCTCGATTTCGGCGATGGCATCCATTTCCTCTGGACTTAATTTGGGAGTCGGGGGGTTTTCTTTGCATCTAAAGATGAAGAAAAACACGAGTTATATTAACTCAGTACAAATAAAACCCACACAATTAAATCAGTGTCACTTAAAATGACTAAAGCTACTTGATAAAGGATGTTTGTCTTATAAAACTGAGTTAGCGTTACTTAAAATGTTCGATGTAATCCATTTTTTGTGCTTTCACAGACTTGCATACACAGTCGCTAACAAGATTTGTTGTTGTTGTCAGTTCTACAGTCTCCAGCACTGTGGCCTCTGTGGCTGCCCAAGAGCAGTGGCGCTCAACCTGGGGGTCAGGGACCCTCGCTAGGGGTCGCAAAAGCTTCCCCCAGGGGGGTCGGGAGGCCTTCTTGATTTAAAGGAGTGTAAGAAAACTTTAAAAAATATGCACAGTATAGACCTATATTTCAGCATTTTGTTCATTTATGTGAAGAAAGCTACGTTAAATAGTTGTTTTCTTGAAGCGTATATAGTTTAGGGAGCATGTATGATTGTTAATAATAAAAAAATACACAATACAAAGAGAGAATTGTACAAAAAGTTCCTAAAAAATATCAGAAAAACTCATCTCTGATCAATATTCACAGGAAATAACAGAATTCATCCAAAATCTTCCTGCAGTTTGTCAGTTGTTCTCTACTGCTGTTAGAGATTGAATATATTTTGAAATATCCATAAAATATGTAAATTAGTCAGTCACTGATCAATACTCACTCCTTCAGAGACACAGTGAGCTCTTTCAGCTTCTTCCTCTGACGTGATATTGCGCCGGAGCAGCTGTCTTGCAGTTTGGTCACTTCCTCAAGTTTCTGTTTATATAGACGATGGGTGTCCTGGAGGTGGAAAACAAGAATAAATACACATATATACACATACATAATACCTTTAAATGTTTATTTTTTAACAAATGTGAAAGGTAGAGAGGACACGAAACAGATGCACCATCATTAGACTTCAGTTTTATTGCTATTGTTCCTGATAATAATAAGTCCCTGTATGTTGATTACGTAGATATATGAGAGACGTGACTGCTCTTGTATACTTAGAGACATGAGCTCATTGTTTTCCCCCGAGCATGTGACCTCCGATGACAGTTTCTCAACAGTGCTGCACAGTTAGCTGTGTTGTAATCGTCGATCATACTTCACTCTTTTTTTTCTCCTTCTATCGTCTCATGTTACTAACTTCCTTCAAAACAAATCCATTGATGAAGCTTGTTCAGAAAACAGGTGTTGGTTTTAATTAAAATATCCATCTGGAATGGACAGTGACATTAGCAAACCGTGGTTACCATGGTTACTGCCACAACTCATCTCACTGTCAGTGGCAAAAGCATTTGTTTTGTTTTTCTCTGTCTCGAGCTTTACTCTGATTTGGACTCAGTCTTGACTCGATCTAACAAGTCCTGGTCTTAGACTCGACCGATATGGGGGTCGGGACCCCCACTAGGGGTCGCCAAAGCTTGAAGAGGGGTTGAGATGCTTTCTTGATTTTAAAAGGTGTGAGAAAACTATACACGGTAGGTCTAAATCTTAGCATCTGGTTTACTTCTGTGAAAAGTGTCTAATAGAACAATGGCCAAGTGTCAGAGACAAAAAAAATAGTGACTTTGTTAAAAAAGAACCGTATTAAGTCTGTATGATTGTTAAAAATGATCAAAACAACATAATACAGACAGAAATGTGTATAAAAAGTTCCCTAAACAGGAAATAATCTGCTCATTATTCATCCAAATTACTTGTTTTACACAAACTTCCTGCAGTTACTGAGTTCACTGTTATAATAATAATAATAATAATAATTATTATTATTATTATTATTATTATATTAAATATAATATTAAATAATATAAAATATGTCACTGAGTCAGTTTAATAAATGATAGAAAAGGGGTCTCTTAAAGAAAAAGGTTGGGAACCAGAGGCCCGGACTACAGCACCTGTGAGTGATTAAACTTATAATAACTTTCTTCTTTTATAGAGTTTCTACATGTGTACGCTGGTATTTATGGCAGGAATTTCTCTGTTTTAGCTCCTAAAAAGTTTTAAAATGTGTGTGAAATTTTACTAATACCTACTGGCCTTTCAAATGAATGCAAAACCCATGAATGTTAAGTCAGTTAGTGTCATAATAACATCATTATTGCAGACAGACTGGCTCTGGTCCATTACTGCATGAGTCATAATAACCTAATGATATAATATATAACAGTATAATAATAATAATAATAGTCACAGGGGACATTTTATCTGTGTATGTACATTTAGTTTTTGATATTGGTACATTTTCCTGATTTTACTGAAGCTTTTACTTTAATAAAGTATATTTTTTTATGTGTTATTAGTACTTTTACTTAAGTAAAGTATCCGATTACTTCCTCTATTACTGTATTTAATCTAAATTAATGTCTATCGAAAAGAAAACCCGCCAAAATCCCGGTGTAAACATGTCCCACATGTTAAATCTCGATTTATGGATTAAGATATTAAACGCCGCATTGAACCAGCGGTGCTTCCTGTAAACAGCGCCGTGCGGGGACAACAAGACAACAGTTCCGGTGGCAGTTGTTCATCTGTAATCTCTAACTTTTTCTTTTTATCTTGTTTTTTTTTTTTTTTTTAATCTTTCTAAAGATATGTGAGGGCGGCTCCCACCCTCGGCAGTGTGCACAACCCACCCCGGGGTCTGGTAGCTCCCCCCGGGGCAGGGCACACCTCCGTAGGTAACGTTACCGGAGACAGGAAGTTAAACTGACCTGAATCTGTTGGTAGTTCTTCTCTAAATCTTCCCATTCTCGGAAACATTCACCCAAACCCGTCGGACTGAACAACATTTTCTACTCTTGCATCAGGAAAAGATCTCGGAGTTGAGTAATATTGAAGCTCCGCTGTGCAACAGTTGGACGGCCCTGACAGCGACTTCCTGCCGCTGCCTTCAAAATAAAAGCCTAAAAGAGTCCCCAGCTCTGGATGAGAGGTCTGAAACTCCCCAATAATCCCCTGATAATGTCTTTATAGCTTAAATATACATATATAATGTATAATATATACTTATAATATATAATTAATGGTTTTCTTTAAATATATAATACATAATATACACTTATAATATATAATTAATGGTTTTCTTTAAATATATAATACATAATATACACTTATAATATATAATTAATGGTTTTCTTTAAATATATAATACATAATATAGACATATAATATATCTATTTGTTACTGTTGTTTCTCTGATATAACAGTTGCCAAAGCTTCATTCATTTATTATTGTAAACTACAATGAAATTCAAGCTGTAGTTCAGTATGTGCTACTCTTATAAACTAACAATACATAAACAAATAATATATGCTGTAAGTTTGATTAAGTAAAGTAAAATTAAATTACCTGTAGACAAATTCCCCATTTTTCCATACTTACATTAATTTTGAATTACTTTACCCTGAATAATTGCCTAATTATTGCCAAATGTCACATTTCCTTTCTAGAAAAGTTTCTGGAAAATCACAACTGACAGCTAAAGACATTTTAACCATCACAACTTTCCGTGCTTTTATTTTGAAGGCCACGTAAAACGTCCGGTTTTATGCGTTCTCCGGGTTTATCCAATCAGATGTCCCCTCGGTGACGTATAACATTTTGGTTCCTCCTTTCAGCCAATCAGCGCCGGGAACACTTGTTGGGCTTTTACTATTACACCCTGAGTTCCGCCTGTCAGGCAGCTCTACCATACAGCTCTTTAACAGGATTAAACCATATAACTATAAAATAATGGGCTGCTGACTATTAATATTATCTTTTAATATAAATAAATCTTTTTAAATTCCACATATTGTTTGGTTTTTTCTCTGCTCTGCTGAAAGGTAAGTTTCAGGGCAATAAGTCTGCCTGTGATTGGCATGTGGCCTGTATTTTTAGAGCTGATGTTATGTAACTCTAAAAACTACTGTAGACATATTGTTGGCAGCTCTGGCAGAGCCATAAACAACTTGAATAATCAAACAGAAAAAGTACAAAAGTGTCCCACAACACAAGTTAAAGACAAAAAAACCTCACTAGGTGTCACTGTCCACTTTATTCCTTATACAAAACATCCATGAAGAGTCATTTGAAATAAAGAAAATATGTCTCTCTCTTTATTGTTTAAATATGAATTATTTGTAGCTGTTGGTTGTTAAAAACGAGGCCCAGAGATATCGGTCACTTTTGTTCCCGCGGTGTGAAGCTCCCAGTCGGACAGCTGCTGTAGGAACCCTGTGTTCGGCCTAACGTTGGGTTTACATTTGAGCATGTACTTCCAGGCATCCTGTAAAAAAGTACAACAGACAGCATTATGTACTGAAAATCTTATGATTTAATAAATATTTATTTGCTTTGTAGCTGAGATTCAGATGCTAAGATAACGCTGTCATCTCTGTATGCTCGCAGTAAATCTTAAAAATAGTTGATTTTACACTTTAAAACTGATAAAATACAGTCCTACACCCTCTAAAGCTTACTTATTAGCACGTCGTAATCTGTTTGTTTTAATTCTTAAACAAACAGAAATCTAAAATAATGACTGGTTGCATGTCCGAGGCTTTAAAACCTAATTTTCTGGCTCTTATTCTGACTGTTTGACTTCGACTGAAACCGGACTGAATGATCCAGACTCGCCTCCAGCGTGTATTTGAGGTGATGCATGAGGAAAGCGACGGTTACGGCGCTGCAGCGGCTCCTGGCCCGTCTGGAAACTATCAGGACACGAGAGCCCATGTTGATGTGAGAACCTGAAGAACATAAAAAACATTTCATCATTAAAACCTTTGTTCATAAAACCCCAAAATATGACCTCGACCTTTGAGATATTGACAGAAGTTGACAAAAGAATTAGCGCACACCAACACAAAGTCTTAAACTTGTATTATTTATAATGACCAGCAGGGGGCAAGTCTAATAGTATTGAGTCTTATGGAGAAATTACCCAACTTCTAACTTGATTTATAAGCTCAGTAAACAGTTTCTTAATAAGTTTATGGTCTCAATCTCTAGATTCAAGTCTGCTTCCACACAGCATGATGTTCATTTAGTAACTGATGGTCCCAGTAAGAGTAAAACAGACCATAAAGCAGGGTATGTGTCAGTGAGTCTGTCCAGCTAAATGCACCAAACTCAGATCAAACTGTCAAAACTAGGCAGTGCTGATCAGATATGGATCAATATTCTGTTACTGCGTTGACTATTTCTCACCTAAAATCTGTTCAAAACATATTTTAGTGAACTATTATAGACAAAACTGTCATAGCGGCGACCATAACGCCGAAACGTCTTACCAATAAAACTACAAATCCTTTCAAAACTAGAATATAAATCAGACGCCGCTGAGTCGGCCACCGGGATGTTGAGGACGGTCTGGTTCCCCTTTATGGATCTCGATCTGAAAAGGATTAAAAAGAAACATCCCTGATTGACGTGTTGACATTGAGACTTTTCTCTCTAATGATATTTCAGATATTTAGTCCGACTTTACTCGGCGGTGTCGCTCAATGAGATGCTGACGACGGCGCTGATTTTCAGGTCTCTGAGGATGCTGGAGTCCAAGCCCTGGTTCTGGTCCCCCATATACAGCAGCCCTGCTATGATCTCCACCGGATACGTCTTCAGGTTCTCCAGCTCCTGAGATCGTCCAGAAATATATATTAAATTGTGTTTATCAGCAGCAATTTGAGACTTTTGAGGGGAAAAAATGCAAATATGTAGTGAGAATTGATTATTAACCAGATAAAAAGGACAAATTTATATTTTAAATACATGGAAATATTAATAAAATGAAAAAAAAGGAAAATAACGTGAAAAATCTGTAACTGTAAATAATTAAAAAAATGACTGCTTATTTTAAGAACATTTTAATCTTTTCACATACATTTTGGGGTTTTTTGCAGATATGTTTATTTAATAGATTAAATTGTTAAATTTATGTTTAATACTGTTAATTTATTTCTAAAATTATATAAAATGACAAATTAACAGTACAAAAAAGTATTGTTATATATTTTACATAAATTAGTATTATTTCATATTTGTTCTGTAATCTTACAATCTTGTTTGTTGTTCATGTTTCTACATTCAAAAATCTTGTTTTGTTTAATAAAATCTGATGTATTTTCTCAATTTCAATACTTTTATTTTAATTATTACAATTTATTGACTTTATATAACCTTTAAGCTCAGACCATACAGATTTTAAAGATGATCATTTCAAGATTCTCAAAGAAATTACATTAATATGAGCAAAAAATATGAATGTAGGCACTTTAACAGCTGCATTATTTAACATTTATTTACAGGAAGTGGCTGCACTCTCATCCATAAACTTCTGTACAATCTGCAATCCAAGAGAATAACTTTGCATAAACGCTGCATTTGTGCGGCTTATAATGTTGTTGATCGTTTTTTACGAAGTTGGTTGAACACAGAAACAAAACAGTGAAATAAATCCAACTATTTACATAATTTACCAGCATTTGGCTCCTTTGCACCCTGGTATTGAAACAAATTGCTTTAGACAAAGAAATGATGGTTCTTGTATTTGGTATCTTGCTCATGGATGTTAAATGGGTTATTATAATGAGCTTCAACACCACCAAGCAACAGTGTATGAAACACTCTGTCCAGGCGTCTCACCGTGATGGTGTAGAGGATTTTCTCCGTCCTTAAGAAAGGGTACAGAGCCGAGAACCTCTGAAAGCCTCCTCTCACCATGTGGACTGGATATTGGCTGGCTTTAGCGAGGGCCTGGGCGCATTCAGCCGCTCTGCCTGCAACCAGAAACCCAACTGATAGACGTCAGTGTGCAGACATTAGTGGAGCCTAAAGGGATGTTTTCCTCTGCCAGAGCACAATGTTGAGTTCAAGGTTTTACAATGACTATAAAAAGTATTCACCCCCCCTTGGATGTTTCACCCTTTTGTTTCTTTTATACATGAAATCATGGTCAATATAATTTGGCTTTTTTGACAAGAATTTGCAAAAAAAACCCTCTTTAATATCAAAGTGAAGACACATATTGGTTTATTTCAATGCATATATATGATAGAATAATGAGAAGAAAGCACTGAATTTGTCAAAAAATAAGCCTATTAAGTCTGTGTGACTGTTATAAAGGAAGAAAATACACAATACAGAGAGAATTGTATAAAAATATCAGGAAAACTCATCTCTGGTCAATATTCACAAGAAATAATCTGCTCAAAATTCCTCCAATCGTTTGTTTTACGCAGTTTTCCTGCTGTATTTTTGTTCAATATTTGGGTTCATTTACAGTTTATCAGTTGTACAATTAATCAATGAAAGAAAAAGGGTCCTCAGCCTTACCTTCCTCCTCCAGAGTGCTCGTGTTGCTGTCGTAGACGACCACATGCTGCATGCTGTCCACCTCCACAGCGTCCGGCAGGAGGAAGCTGCCCTCTGAGTCCTGGAAAGAGTCGCCCAGAAAGTATGTGTGAGTGTGTGAGTGACGCACAAAATAATCCCAGAAACCCTGAGAGAGAGAAAGTAAACCTCTCTCCGTTGTAGTGGACCAATGATGTCCGTACCGTTTTGATATTTTGGGCCGTTGTGATGTGACTTATTCTGTAATCTTGGGTTTCACGAGCATCTAGAAAAGAGACACACAGTACACAGAGACACACAATATGTCATATCTGCAGCTACAGGGGGCGTCTCTCACGTCAAAACAATAACAAAAGAGGAAGTTTGATGACGTGGTGCGGTGGTGTGGGATCATGGGAGTTGTCTTAGGATCCCTTCAGTGTTCATCGTTCAGGGGGCTGCGAGCCGAGCTGCTGTTAGCTCAGCTTGTTTCTCTGATAACTTAAGATCCAGACGTCCGATGACTAAAATCCTTCATCCGGTTCAAATCTAGAGTTAAAAAGCACCAAGATCTAAACAGTGGATGGTAAACATGTGGCTTCAGACTGGATCAACAGTCAATGTATGACGCCATCGACAGGCGACCGGTGAAACAGATTTCTCTGAGTTTGAACATTGTTGGAAACATTTAGGATAATGTAATTAATGTTAGATGTTGTAAGTTAACTATCCCATCTCTTACCAATCAAACAGAGGAAGTTGATCTCTGCCAGCCTCGACACACGGCTGCTCTGGTTGAGGAGGTTAAAGAGCTCAAATGGCTCAAACATCACGATTTCAGCCATCGCAGGAACAATTAAAAGAGTCTAGATGAACATTATAAAAAGCTTAACCTGTAAAGAAAAACACAACACCTACAAAAGAGCACCATGTCTATCTGGGTTGTTGTCATTGAGGTGTTTGTATGGGTTCTGTTGCTAAGCAACTCACCGGCTTCCCTCATTGGTGGTTGGTGACGATTTGGAGCCTTAAAGTGACAGCGACCCATTTCTGAGCCATGTGTCCTTATTTATCTGTTTCATCTTACTTATCATATTTATGATTGTTTGATTTATTAAAACCTGACAACGTCTTAATAAAATAAGTGAGTTAATATAAATTAATCACTCATTCACATTAATTAAACTCTGTATTTTAATTACAGGTGATTTAATTCCAGTTTGACTAATTTCCTTGAAGTTGACTATAAATAATGTGTAAACATTATAAAGCTGTATAGCATGTTTTTATTTTAGTTTATTAATCAACACAAGCCCAAATATGCATCCAGATCATTAACAATAATTAAAAGCATTAAAAACATTTAAAATTTTTTTAGTAAACTGTTTCTATCATACATCAGCTGTTTAGACAGGTAAAGTAATAATTTGCTTTAGTGGCGTAAACTGAAGATGCATTTAAGTTATACACATTTTAAATAAGTTTGGAGAAATGCTGCTTACGAGTCTAACTTCAACTAAGTGAGTGGAATTACTACAATTAACTTAATTAACCAAAGTTACCTTAATAATAAATACTTAAGTTTCTTCTACTCTTCAAACATCTTTTATATCTTTAATAAACTTAAACAGTTTTAATCAAACAGTTGTATTAACTCGTTTTAATCACTTTATTATAAATAAAGCACCTTGTACCTTTGCTTTGAAAGATGTTGTATAAATAAATTATTATGATGAGGAAAGAAGATTATTTTCTTACTGACAAAGGAAGTGAAGAAACATTCACTTATAGTTTAATTACTGTGTGAAACTGTTCATTTTAATTATTTATTGTGTTTCTTTGAGTCTTTGATTATTATTATTATCATTATTATTATCATTAGCATTATTATCATTATTATCATTATTATTATCATTATTATTATTATTATTATTATCATTATTATTATTATCATTATTATTAGCATTATTATTATTATTATTATTAGCATTATTATTATTATTATTAGCATTATTATTATTATCATTATCATTATCATTAGCATTATTATCATTATTATTATTATT